TTTGCGGGATGATTCCCCGGGGTGCTTTTTTTTTTTTTTTTTTTTTTTTTTTTTTTTTTTTTTATTATTTATTTATTCCCTTCAGTGAGGATACGCGGTACACTGTAGATATTTTTTTTTTCTTATAGTGACTTAATCAAGACTTTTAAGAAAGCTACTCGAGCTGGTATCTACACAGCAGCTATTCAGATCAGCGTATCCTCCGCAACAGTTTTGGAGGCCGTATGTAGACCCCTCCTGGTTCTCAGGATTGCAGGGCTAGCCTGGAATGTGACCTTCTTCAGGTACTGGGTTCTGCATTGTGGCGCTTACCAGACCTTTGTGCATTGTGATGTTGACCTGCAGAATACTCTCCGTGTCCAGAGACATGGCACAGCCTGTGATGTGACCCAGTCTTTGAAGACTAATGTAGGGATTAGGGCTAGCCTGAAATGCAGACCCTCAGGTACTGACCGGTCAGGCTGAAGCATTGGGATCTACCTCTAGGTTGGTAATGTTGGGTCCTAAATTATAAAATTTCTCATCGCTGTAAATCTAGAGTGAGGGGTTGAGCAGTCATGTTACACGCTAGGTGGAGTGCTATGCGTGTGGGCTTCACCATTTTCTTTCTTGTCATTCACCTTTGTGGAAGCACCATCCCGCTGCTGCTCTTGAAGCATCAAATGGAATCTGTTTCCATTCCATTGCTGGCTACAGTTACTTGGTCACCTCTGGGCTGCCTGAAACCCCCATAATAAGTGCTGCCTGGGTTTGTGAGGTACTTGCAGCCTTGTCTCACATAGCTGACTGTCCTGCTGCATGACATTTGGAGCTGCATTATATTGGGGGCTGGCCTTCAGCAGTTTTTCTGTTTGCCAAGGCCCAAACCTGCTTTAGGTGGGAGCATATAACCCAAATATCTACACATTACTACATTCCTGTGTTCCTTTTTTCAAATGCATGCAAGTCATAAAGAGGCAACATGTAGTATTTGTCATTGCAGAGACTCCCGATGTAAGAATGCATGGGAGCGAGAACCCTATACCATTTGTACCGCACAACCACGTGCCCAGTTATGCCTATATGCTCCATTAGGACTGCAACAGATGGTATGCATCTTGCTACAATTTTGACAGTGGCTAATACAGTACTCCTGTCATCCTTTACATTATGTTTCTATACCATCCAGACATGGTTTTGAGTTGTACCAGTCCTAATAAAATAAACATTAAAGTCATTTAGAAGGAAATGAGCAAAAGTCTATTTGACCATCATGTTCTCAATTCCTGTAGTCTGATCCTGGTGTCTCATATTCTTTTATTCATAAGTAGAAGCTAGCACCCCACTAATGCCTTCAATCTGACATGTTTTACCTCTCTCTGGGGCTTAACCAGTGCGGATGTGAATTTTATGATTTTGGATGCGGATGAGCCTGACCTCAGCTGGCACACACTGCAGACAGGAGCACTTAGAGCAGTTTTCAAGTGGTATATTTATTTTTGGATTTGCCAAATGGAGATTGAATTTTTCCTTTTTTTTTATTTATTTTAGTACACATGGTGAGTTATTGTTTTTCTGCGGGCATTAAGGCTTTTGCTCTTGTTTTGGGTTTTGTAACTTGTGGCTTTTATTGTTTTGGTTAGATAACCTGTTAAATTGCTTTCTGCTCAAAAATAAATTTGGTTTGTGATAAATCATGAATTTATTTTTACCAGGTATAAGAAAAAATGGGGTTGGCTGAATGCATCTGGAAGAGGGAAAACATTTGTCACTAAAATAATTTATTTCTGTTTCCTAAGACTGGACATGTGCCTGCTAACAGTTAACTGAAATTCCCAGTGATGAAAATATACTTTGTGTGACAGTACCCTCCAAAAAAAAATATTACAAAAAAGTCTTGTTTTATATTCTGTGTATTGTCCCTACTGCACTTGGGATAGACAGAAAATTGCTAGTTGGTTTTATTTTTGCCATTTTAGTTGTTTTTTTTTGGTTTTATGTTTGTTTGTTTTTTATCGTGAGAGCACAAGTATAGACTACTCCTATCTGCTTTTAATCCAGTAATATATAGAAAAAAATCCTTACTACAGGGCTCGACAAATCCCAGGCGCCAGGTCGCCAATGCGACCAGAAATTGTGTCCTGGCACCCGGGCATTTGTCAGCCCGTTCACTGTACATCAGTTGCTGCTGCCGCCGCAATAACTGCCCCTTCTCCAGACTCACAGAATGGCAGCAGTTTCTCCCCACAGGCTGTAATAGTCTGTAGCGGTCTGTGTTAAGGTGCTCACACACCGTACGATAATCGCGGGGAATCCCGCGATCGTACGATTATCGTAAGGTGTGTAGGAGCCATGCGACCTCTACTACTGTAAGGTCGCACGACTTTTACCTTAGGAACATGTTTGAGAACCAGCCGACCATCGTACGCCTGGTTTATGGCATGTTCGCAAGATAAAAGCCGCACTGGCCGGTGTGCGCAAGCGCACACTGCCCGTTCGGCATTGCGGTCATCGGAAGCCCACCCCTCAGCGGGAGGGGCTTGCAATCATCGGACGTACAATCTGCCTGTCCAAGATAGGCAGATGGTACGTTTTTTTAAATTACCTTACAACCATTGCAAGACAAAAGTATTGCGATGGTTGTAAGGTGTGTGCCCAGCATTAAAGGCGACAGGTAGCTGATTGCAGCCTGTAAGGAGAAACCACTGACGGTTTTGTAAGTTTCCTTCCCCCTCGTGCTGCCTACAAACCTCCCCTCCCTCCCTTGAACGGCGCACCTGCTGTCGACCGCAATCTGTCTCCAATCCAGCAGCTGGCAGCAATAGCTAGCCTGCTATTGGCTCTTTTAAGTTGCAGTAGTAGCCAATAGCAGGCTGGCTATTGCACCTGCCCACTGCCTGCTGTCAATCAGCAGAGGAGGACATGAAGAACTTTCTCCTTCATATCTTTGCTCTGCTGATTGACAGCAGGCTGTGGGCAGGTGCAATACCCAGCCTGTTATTAACTGTTGCAATTTGAAATGGCCAATAGCAGGTTGGCTACTGCTCATAGCAATGAAGTAAAAAAAAGAGTCAGGATCGAGAAGTGAGTGAACGCCGGTATGCGTTCGCTTACTTCCCGATCTACTGAGCCGATCTGTGAAAGTCTCATTGTCGCAAGTCGGCTAGAACTATGAGGTGAGTGAAAAGCACTCACCTCATAGTTCTCCTTTTAATGGGTTTTTAAATAGTATTTCACTGATAGTAGAGCAGAGGTTAACATCATCATTGTCTTGCTGTTGCTTCACTGTCCAGTCACAAGCTGGGTCTTTCCTTGCCTAAGCTGTATTGCTTTAACTACAGCGGAGAAAGCTCAGCTTCTGGCTGTGCTGTCTAACAGTGATATGTGTGGATTAGAATATATATATAGATAGATAGATATCTATATATAGATATATATCTATGATTTTACATACAAAATGCACACATTTACAAATCAATTTGGGTGCGCCTATGTATGAAAACGACCAACGCGCTACACATGTTGGGTATCGCCGCGCACGCCGGAGTGAGAGCAATAATTCTAGGGCCAGTATTTTGGGGTATCTTTAAATTGATGACCTGTGGGGACTTTTAAAGCGTCTTTTGCTTTAAAAGTCCCCACTCGTTGTAACCTCATCTTTTATATTTCATTAAAAAAATGGGTATTTTGTTGTGTTTTGGGGCATTTAATTACATTTTTTCACTAAATATTGGGGTTTAATAAGGAGTTGCGCTAATATTGCGCAACATAAAAATTTGCAACTACCACCATTTTATTCTATAGGGTCTTGGCATTCAGAAAATATATAATGTTGGGGGGTTTTAAGTAATTTTCAGGCCTAAAATGTGGAATATAACATGGGTGCAAAAAATGAAAAAAAGGCCTCAGTCATGAAGGGGTTAAACATATTTTGTTATGGCCTTAATAAACTAAGTTTGTACAAAACAACTATACGTTCCTCCTAAAACCGAATGCTGTAAATCCAGTCTTGGGTTTGGTTCAGACTCTTGCAATTGGTTAAAGATTTGGTGGTATGAATAGAAAACTAGCAGTCAAGCCATCCAAAATGAAGAATCCATTCCATTTGCATTGCACCACAACATAATGTGTTGGTGCAGGGATGGACAAATTTAGCCACAATCATTTTTATTAAAGGTTACAAAAGCTATGAACCAGAACATTTAGGTTTTCAGGCCACATAGAAATAACACACAGCATCCAGAATGTGGCTCAGTCAGCGAGATGATAGGCCTACGTAAAACTAAATCAAACCCACCATTGAAACGGCACCAATGGTGGGAAACTGGAAACAAGACTGGAGCAGGAGTTCTGCAAAAGCAAAGTGCTAGAGAAGAAGAAAAGACAATAAAAGGATTAAGAATCCGAAAAATAGCAGGAAAAGGATGAAGGAAATGAACACTGGGCATGCTGCCCACCCATTCCACCCATTCCACCAGCAAGGTTGCAGGCCAATAAATCAGGAGATGGTCAAATTTAATATGAATTCAGGATCCAGTACAGCAGCTGGCAAGATTCTTTTTTAGGAGTCCGCTCTATGGACAGCAACAAGAGCAAACCTCAATGTTATGACTTTTTGGCTACAAGGCTCCTTGTATTTGTCCAGATCTGCCATAAGATGCTTTCTGTTATCTTCATCTTGCTCTCCTACTACCTGGATCTGCTGCTGATGGCCCCTAAATAATAATAATGTGTAAATACTAACTTACTGAAAGTTGCTATTTGCATAGTGCTAAATAGTCTCTTACTATGGGACCTCCAAGCACCAGGTGATAAGTCAATCGGGCAACAAGCAGGTCAAGTGTGCATGGTTTTTTGGGGGGGTTTCTTTTTTCTTCTGAGCTTTAGTAGCAGTTTAAGTTAGCTGATAAGGCAGCAATACCAAGCGAAAACTCCTAGGGGCTAATGTATAAACCTTTTGCCCAGTGTAAAGCTGGGCAAATGTTGTTTTCACACAATAACTGCCAGTAGACGGTGACAAGGGGCATAGGAAATTCCATCTAGTACTGTAATGCCATGCCAGAAATACACATGGCTCTTTTATTTAGACAATATTTGTGTATCCTGGTGTTCAGTCTTCAATATCTGACTACATAATTAGGTGGCCACTCCCAAGGAGCAGGTTTTTTTCACTGGTAAGACTATAAATGAGATGCTCAGCTGCATTTTACATGTCAACAAATCCACGTTGCTTTCTGATACAGATCTTAGAGCACACACGTCAAACTGGTGTTTTCTTTGGGGCTTTTGCAGTTTTCACCTAGTATAAGAAATGGAACTGAATGACTTCCCAGGCTGTCATATAGGCTACAGAAAATGTTTGATCTGGTTTTCAAATAAAATATGTTTGTAGTTATCATTTCTATGTCATCAAAGCGCTTACAGGATAAAGAGACTGTTGCTAAAATAAAACTCTACAATGGAGTGGCCTGCTCATACAAGACATTGAATACTCTCTTCTCCTGCTGCCTCCACAGCTGATCTTTGTACTAGTGTAGATGGACTTCCAACTGCAGATCCTGCAGAATTTGACACTTCTGTCGGTTTCTTGTTTCCCTGCTTAGTAGTTCAATCTGCCAATCTCTAGTGTGTCCTGTGGTGACATAGGGACCAGTTGAAGAAACTACAGAAAATCGCCATTCCTGAATGTGTGCAGGATCTTCAGCCAGCAGTTTCTATTCACTGTTGTAGAGAATGGTGGTGCAGACAGCAGGAGAATGGAGGAGCGGTTATTCTTTGTACAGATGCATGTGGAATAAAGTTTGAATTTCTTTGGAAGATCATCAATCTACAGTTTTTGAGCAGACCGCAGGAGAGGCAAGTATTAAATGTCTCCATTGCAGAGGCCACTTTATTGATTTTTATTTTAGTGACTTTATGGCGTTATTTTGGTCTTCTAATTCATTTTGCCTTTGACATGATTGTTGTACAGCAGGGGTAGGCAACTTTGGCACTCCAGCAGCTGTGGAACTAAAAGTCCCACATGGCATTGCAAGCCCATGGGCATGACTCCCAGAGGCAAAGGCATGATGGATCTTCAGTTTCACCACAGAGGGCCAATGTTGCCTACCCCTGTCGTAGAGCATTGACAAAACTGGCTAGGACTCGGACACGGAAGGAAATTCTTCTTAAAGTGAGCTTGTTTATTAGCAACATGTATAGGGCAGCAGCTGAAATATAATCCGCTTTAAGAAAATATCAGTTAAACAGTTTACACATAAGTTACTAAGGATCATCCACATAATTGGGGTCAGTATATAGGAAACTTATAACTGGCTAAAGAGCAGAAACACATATATGACCTAGTTATATTGTCTGAAGTTACAAAAAACAGTAATATACAGTGATTTGAAGATGAAGTTTTATTCTTGGAAAGAAGAGAACATACTAGAGTTGTTAAAATAGTTACTGCTTACAGTGTATGTATAGCCAAAATGTCTTTCATCACTGTGTCCTTGCTAGAGAGATTTACCTCTTGTGTCACTTCCTGTTTTGTCTCTAGGACAGGAAGTGTAATCTGTCCAATGGGCAGACAGGTAGTTTAGCAGGATTCTTATTCTATTACTGTGTAGTTAGTCCCTTCCTCCCGATGGTTCTGTGTTCTGCAGACATAAAATATGTCTGCGGTATAAAATATGTGTACTCGCACAAGCTAGATCAAGTAAGTATACATAAATATTTATATTACACATCAACTAAATTTACTTTGGGAGTTTATGGTTACCATGTTGGCATCAAGACAATGTCTACATTTACCAATATTTATTAGAAAACACAATGTAAAATCTTATAAGCAATATCAATGACTGGTATTACAAGGTACACTAACAGACCCATAGATTGCCTCCTCCGGTGGTCACCATTCTATCATATCCTCACAGTCACATTGACTGTACAGATAGGACCTCCAGATACTTGATGCGTTTCATTCGTTGGGCTATAGGCCATTTCATCATTTGTTACCATGACATCTGTTTAAGAGGGGATTTCCCACATACTGGAACATCCTCTCACTTCCTGTTGAGTCTACAGGATGTGAAGGCTAATCTCCCAAATGGCAAAAAAAGAAAGAAGCTGACAGTGGTTTTAACCTTCCCCCTACTCCATCCAAAATAAAAATGTAAAGTTTTGGCTGTATAAACTTTAAAGGAGAACTATGTGGTTAAGGCTTTTCCCCATAGTTCTCAGGGTAACGGGAGGACACAAACTAGCGTCCTCCCGTCACCCTAGGCTCAGTATACTGCGAGCTGTAGCTCGCGGTATAATGAGACGCCGCAGTATACCGCGAGTAGCTGCTCGCGGTATACTGAGACACTGAAGCGGATCCCGACAATTGTGCCGGGATCTGCCCAGCTGCGTGACTGGCTCTGCCTATCTAGAGGCAGAGCCAGCTGTACCCTCCCCTGTCCGTTCCGCCAGACAGCGCTGGCGGAGGGGGGAATGCAGCCCCTCCCCAGTCACGGCAGAGAGCCGTGACAGGATCGAGAGGTGAGCGAATGCCGGTATGTGTTCGCTCACCTCCCGATCTACTGAGCCGACCTGTGACAGTCTCATTGTCACAGGTCGGCTAGAACTATGAGGTGAGTGAAAAGCACTTACTTCATAGTTCTCCTTTTAAAGCAGAGCATCACACTCCTGATCCTCTTTCATAAAATACCCCACCCCAATTTCACACAGTTGGATCTTTTTGGGTTTTTTTCTTTCTTTTTGAGCTCCCACTTCGGTATTTTTGCCTATGTGATAATGATGTTGCCCTAGCGATACTCGCAATGTGCATCCCCCGAGCTTTAAGGCAACCTACAGTATAAGATTTTGCAGCGCATCATCGGGGGCGGCTGCAAGAATCCAGAAGAGATGGCCAGCTTCAAACAATATAAGCAGAGAACATAGCAGTGCGGGACCTGGCGTGGCAGAGCAGCAAATTACAGCAAGACAACGCTGGATTCGCTTGACAATGTCTATGTGTTTTGAGGCTAACATAGCAAACGAGGTAAGAAGGGATTTAAAAAAAAAAAACACAGCACAGGAGGGGGAAGTTCCTCTTTAATTTGCTTGTGGTATTGCATGTGTTACCATTTTGAAATTTCTTGCAACATATTTTTTTAATAAATGGTTTTTAAATAACTGGCACAAGAAAGCAAAACAGTTTTGTGACTTGCTGTAGTTTTGTTCTACAAAGGGAATTGAATCCCGAGTGCCTGAGGATATCTTTTTATTGTTTTGTGCAGGTAAAGAGGACGTATTCTCATGGTACATACAGAGCAGGTGCAATGAGGCAGATCAGTCTGGTGGGAGCAGTTGATGAGGAAGTAGGGGACTACTTCCCTGAATTCCTTGACATGTTAGAGGAGTCTCCTTTTCTGAAGGTATGAATGAATATTGTACACCTGTGCTTTGTTTATTTTACTACTGACTTTTACATTTAATTGTTGGATGTTGACAGAGTTTTAGTAACCTTTGAAATTCATAAACTGTTCTATATTATTTATTTGTGTACAGTCTTTAACAGGTTTCTGCTTCCGTTAAAAGGGACAACTATAGTGGTTTTGAATATACTGCCTGTGTGTTCACATACAGAGTGAGAAAGAGAGTTTTTACAAATATACCATGACCTGGATGAATGAGAACCTTCACAGACAGAGTGTTGTGTTTTTTATTTGATTTTTGTTTGCTATTTTTAAGAGAAAAGTGCACCGTTTGGACTCTCTTGAAACACTCCATATAAACTTTGCTGAAGGAATAAGGTTGACCTCGTTGTCTAACTCATTTACTTTAGTTCTGACTTTTTTTCTTCAACAATGCAGCTTATGTTTAGATTGGAAATATGTAAAAAAAGAAATAATTATGTTTTAAAACACTCAAAAAGTCTTCAGTACAGTAAACTCCTTATGTGGCGCCCACGGGGATCGGTAGATGCCAGATAACTAATTTCTGGTTGCTTGAGAGTTACTATAGCAGGCTGGCTATTGCTCCCCATCGTTTACATACAGCTGCCACCGCAGAATGCAGCCA